AACATTAAGTCTGTAACTTTTTCGATTTCTTCATGATCTCACATAACATTTGGGCTCACTTATTTGTGTTTTCTGGAATTCTTTATTATTTTGATAACATTTTTTCACTAAGATATTTTTTTTCTTTTTTAAGGAAAAGTTAATAAATGGGGTCAGTCAGGTTACTGGAAACACAACTTTTTTTAAACATTTAATTATTTATGGTCTAGTCATTTTCTTAAGTAAAAATCCTGTGTCTAATAAATAACGTAATAATTTTTAAATATTTAACGATGTGATGATGTTTTTAGACCTGCCATATAGCTGTTACAATATCCTAAGTTGCAAGTGATCAAACAATGAGGTCTTGAAAATAGAATCCCAGAGACAGCATTACCAGTTGAGATATAATTTAGGGGGTGATGTAAATTCTTACAGAAATACAGAAACACTAAGCCTCTAGAAGCTCTTTTGTTCTTTGAAAGTGAAAATACAATATTATTATCCTGGCATTGTACTGTACTTTGTAGTAAGTTCCTTCTAAGATGTGTGCTTAGACTGAGTTGTTTTTTTTGGGGGGGGGTGATCTAAATGTTTATATATTCATTGAACACCTTCTGCATTTTGCTTAATTTCAGCACTAAGAAATGTATTTGTCATTTCTAATAATAAACGTTCATCAGTTTATTTTAGGTATTGATCAAGGCACTGAGGTCTTACAGGTAGCTTCTGGATTACTTTAAAACTTTTCATGCCTATGTGTATTTTTATGTTGAATATATGATACTGATAAATATTGACTAATTCTTTTATTTTACAATAGCCATGTGTACAGATCATGTGCCACAGATACAGCCAGCAATCCATTTCCACTTTAGGAACTAATATGTTTGCTGCTTGGAGGCCTGATTCTAGTACTTTAGCAGTTGCAGTAAGTATTTTCTTATGAAATAAACTTGTTTTTACATTAAGTTTTCAGACAGTTTTTATAAGTACAGTGGATAAGAAACTGTATCATATTCAGTAAAACCTAATTTTAGTGTTTTCTAATGTTTTACCTTGAACTAACTGTTATGTTTTATATGAGAAAATATTGTGTAGGAAAAGAAATAACTAGTTTTATGTTTTTGCTCATGTATTGCTATGTTTATAGAGAATGGCATTTCTTGAGATAGTATTTCATTCTTTAAATGTCAGATGAGGGAATATAGAAAACTGGGAAAAAAAAGAAATGTCTAAAATTGAATAAGACTATTTCAGTGTTGAAATTTTACTTGGTTTTGGAAATATTTGAAGTAGATAATTTTAATCTTGAAATTGCCAGTTGATTCTGTGACAGCTGTTAATGATGTTTTTTTTTCTTAAGACTTCCAACAGCCACTTGGTGTTCTTTTATTTAGAAATGGATGAGTACGTAAAGGGTTTATATGAACAGAATGATAGCAAGTGAGTATATTGTTTCTTATCTTCTGTCCAATTTTCTATTCATCAATTAATTTCACTAATTATTGTGACCTTTCAGTTTAAACAGGTTTCAAAATATTTAAAATAATGTCTATAATATTGGAACATCTTTTCAGTGATATTCCAGGCATAAAGGAAATTATCTGTGACTACCTTAAATACAAAATTAAAATACCAACAAATTGGATCTAGGTTAATCAAAAGTTAGTGAATGACATCAAAAAAAGTTATTGTGAAGACTGTATTAAAATCTAAATAAATAAACACATGATAAAAAACATTCCTACACGTGCAAAACGAAAATATTCTATGAACACTGTTGTTAGCATTGACAATATGGCTTACATTTATAATGTGGTAGGAGAAAGGTCCTGTGCACTCATTTAGCCAATCCCTGTTCAAGCAACAATAAAACATGTAAGTACCGTGTACTAGGTAAGTATCTTTAGAGGAGAGAGGCAGGAAAAGATAAAGCAGCATAATTGTGCAGTTACAACTTGTTTCACTTTTATCTTTGTAAACATAGTTATTTTTATATATTAAAAATTACCTCTGTATTTTACTTCACTTACAGTTAATATTTTTCAGGGTTTCAAGTTTAAAAAGAGAAAGTGCAGAATTATTTATTAAGGAAACTATTTTACCACTGGAGTTTAGCCAGAATTTCTCTACTCATCTCCCAGGAGGGATTACAAGGTATCATAATCAAAAAGTGTCTTTATTTTTTAACAGATAATTGTATAACTAGAACAAATTACTAATCACTTTTCAATTTAACACCAATAAGTAAATTAAGGGAATAAATATAAATATTTTAATCACTTTGTAATTCGGTATTACTTCATTCAAAATCTATTATCTATCACAGAAAAGAACTAACTGGGTTATATATATACTTAATTGATAGATAACTTTTTGTTTCAAAAAATTCATAGAAGGCTCTTCTTTCTTATTCATGGTTTTTTTGTTGATAAAAAATATAGATCGATTGAAAATGCTATTGACAAAAGAAAAAGTGCATTAATAATTTTCTTTTAAAATAAAAGTTTACATTCATGAAGAATAGAGAGAAAATAGTTTGTAATGTAAAAATCCTTTTATAAGATTGAAAATATCTTTAAAATGTTCAAAATGAAAATTTCATTTTCATTCTAGTCTTCTGTGTATACGAGAAGAACTAATGGCAACCACAACTTCAGGTTGGATCTGGAGACTGAAATGGGATGGAACCATAAATAGAGATTATTGTGTTGATCTTAGAAATGTTCCTTTTGCTGTTGATCAGCAGTTATCTAGAGGTCTGTAATTGTTTTGCTTTTACTTCACATTCCTATTATATCACATCTGTTGTTTTTGTATTATCAATGGCTTGTGTGTATAAAAAGAGTTGACAGTTATTTTTGAATTGTTGCATAAGTGAGTCTTGCATCAGATCTGTGATTCTATTTGATATTTTCTAGACCTTTGAAATGTGAGTAGGTTGTTATCCAATTTCAAATTTGTGTTGCAATTATCTTTGTGTGTGTGTGTGTACAAAACAAATTCTCTTGAACATTTTGAACTGATATGTAGTAGTGGGAGATGATTTACAGATGATCCCTTAATAAACATCTGCTTCAAGGTCATGCAGTCCACGATATCCACTCAACCCAAAAATGTTAGATCATGTTTCTTTGTGTGCATTGCAGCTGAAGTATTTTGTCCATGTGTAACTCAATAAGTGTTTTTTCTATGGCTTAAAACAAATGTGTTAATATAAATTGTTGCATATTATGGTAATAATTAAAAAATATGACAAGGAATAAAAAAAAGACTTTAAGAAGAAAAAAATTCTGGTCAACATTTCAGTCACACAAACGTTATCATGACTTATGGTAATAATTCATAAACACTTCTATAGTTTGAAAATGTACGTGTAATTTCAAGTGTTTTGGTTAGTATTAACTTGTGTAACTGTTTACAAAAGTCATTTGATAATGTGGTTGGCTGACCATTAGATGTGAGCAATTAATGTTGTGCAAATATAATAACATTGTTAGTGTCATAGTCTAACCTAATAGTTCATTTAAATAACTAGAGGAAAAATAAGTGAAATAGTGTTTCATACTAATTAATTTCACTTGTTGTGAATATTATATTATTAAAACAATGTACTTTGGGGCAGTGTTAACCTTTGACAAATATTTCACAATTGTTTTTTTCCCAATATTTTTTTAATGTTTTCATTAATTAAAGATATATTTTCCATTTAAGGTGATCAAAAATTATAAGTGAAAAATATTTTGATGATCTTGTTATTCTGCTAATTTTTTTTCTGGTATTAAAAAATGCCCTTATCTTAAAGAATTCATTAGTTTTCTAAAATATGTTTTTTTGTGTCTGTTAGTTTCATGATTGATGTAAATGAACATACTCATTTTACAGGTATTACATTAGGTGAAACTAATGTTTATGTCAAAGATCTTGAATACTCACCTTTGATTGGAGGATTTTCTGTTGTCCTGTCAGATGGTAGAGCTGGGTGCTTGACTGCTCCATCATTTCAGTTTTACCCTGAGGTAAGAGGGAAGTACAGTAGTTTTGCTAAATTGTGAATTTATCTGAAGTTCATTTATATAAATTTAATTTGTTGCCCAGACACATGAGTGTGGTTTAGTGGCCAGCAAATGTAATGTTTTTTTCTTTCTTCTTCAGTTAGTGATGATAATATTTAGTTCAGAAAATATACATCTTTACAAGTGAGCAAATTTTAAGCTATTCAACAAACCTTTCCCCTCATTACATCACCCAGGAATGAATATTACTTTCCCAGGTGATCAGTGAAAACAATGGTCTAGTAACTTTGCAAAAAAAAAAAATTAAAAAGCCTGAATAATTTTCTTTTATTTCTCCTTGTAAAATGATTTTTTTTCTGTACAGGTTTTTTGTTCTGCATTTATAATAAGTAATATAAGTTAGTTAATTGTGTTTTTAATTACAGTTTACAATTTAACATCAGTAATTTAAAACAAAGATTTTTACAGTTATTAGTTATCAATTTATTCCTGTAGTGTATTAAAAATGTATTTTGTAAGATTATAAAACTGTAGAATACAGATTGAGAAAAAGATATCAAGTTTTTATTTTTTATAATCTGATAAAATTATTGCTTTGTTTGTATAAATTCATAAAATATACTCTTTCGTTTTTTAATTTTCAGGAAATCACAGGAATATGGGCTCAAGAGATCAGGAATGCAACTTGTACTGCAGTTAATCATAGATATAGATTGATAGCATTTGGTTTAGAAAAGTAAGATATCTAATTACTTTTTTTATTGCTAAAAAACTAACTGGTGTGTTAGGTTCTATGTTAAAGATTTTCTTGTTTTTATGAGAGTTCACAATTAACAGTTTCATTTCTTTAACTTTTTCTATGGCTGGGTCAAAGTGCACATGTTATGACCTCTTACTCTTTTACATCCTGAATATTATTAAATCACTTTATTGCCTGTGTGTGTCAGTAAACTTGGCATGAAAACATACTTTATAATTCACATTTTATATTATTGGAATTTTAACTTTATATTTCAAAAAGAAACATTAAAAAAAATAATTATGAATCCTCCTTTTTCCGTGTTATGTGGCACATCTGAGTTCCAACTTCACCATTTCAGAATTTTATAATGTTAATTATGTGGCTGCTACAGTTTCCAAGCACTTGTAAGTATAAACTATAGATTGTAAAAAGTAAGAATCTTAACCTTGCACCTTCTACATTCTTGACTTACTGAGATATAGAGCTGGGCAATTAGTGTTATTAGCTAATCAATTAATTTTCGGGCTCATTAATCAGTTACATTCAACCAATCGATTATTCTGGATATAAAAAAGTAGAAAATAATCCAATATTCTCCAATGACATGACTGAAAACAACAACTCTAAAAGTTGGGTTTTGATTATCACTGTTAGCAGAGCATAGCATAGCATTATTTAGCTTTTATTAACAACAAACATTATAGCAATATTTTGATTACTTGGATAGTTGGAATAATCAAAGATAGTAAGAATCAGAAACCCTTATTTCGATTAGTTGCGTATTTTTGTGAGACATGACACTATTTAATTAATCTTATGTCAATGGCTGGGTCAAAGTGTCAAAAGCTTTTGCAGAGTTACATTCAAAATTTAATTAAACTACTTTATTATCAATATATACAAATAAATCAGCATCAAAATGTAGTTAAATCAAATTTTTAATTATTGTAATATAATTATAATAAATACATATATGTATATGTGTATATATATATATATATATATTATAATTTAAGAATTGAGGGAAAAAAGACAATTGTACCTTTTACAAATACATCATTTATTCTTGACCATGGTTTCGCCAGTAAAGGCATCATCAGGTACAGACTGAAATGTTTTGTAGCAGGGTTTATATATATGTTTAAACAAAGAACTGAAAGTGAGCTTGACATTCACCTAGAGACAAGTGGGATGAGAAGTAGGGAGGAGCTTAAGTTGGTTTGGTCAAATTGGTGTTTGGTGTCAATAAGGATGGGATGCAAAGGTTGAATCTAGTTTCCTTAATTTCCAATTTCTAGAATGTTCTTTAATTCTTGTTTCTATGACCTATATATATACACTATTGCAGACTTGTTAATTTGTAAACACCACTGTTGCTGTACTTTTCCATAGTCTTGAATAAATAATGTATTTGTGAAATGGACAATTGTCTTGTTTTTCTTCAATTCTGTAATTATGGAGTTTCACCAAGTTCCAACAGTTTCAAGTATCAATTATATTATAATCTAATATGAAGTTATTTATTTTATAAGAAAATATTTTTAAAAAATCCTCAAACTCCCCTAGTATGAAAATTTTGACATTTGTTCTCTGGGTCTTTCTCCTTCTTTAATTTATTGACCACCACTTTCTGAAGTATGAATATTGATGTAAATTACCAATTATAATATAGGTATTACTAAGGCAAAGTTTAGTTTTTGTAGCCTTCAATCTTATTTGTTTATGGAGTCATAGCTAGAAAATTAGACTCACTTTCCACGCTCACCTGTCACATTCTCTCTTTCACAATTTGCCAGTAATTCTCTCTGACATTAAATATTATTATCATTTATAACCAACAGAAAGGAAAAATTCTAATTTAACAAATGATATATAATGCTACATTGTTTTCAATACAAAGTATTGTCAATTTATTTTTCAGTTTGAAAGATTATCTCATAGTGTTCAGGTTCATCATATAAGAGAATTGATTTAAGCCCTTCTTGTCTTAGAAAGCCAGTTAAATTGTTATAGATATATGACATAATTTGTTTTGTGCATGTTATTATTATGTGTTCTTAGGTGTATTATTTAAGTAAATAAAAATTATTTAAGGTACTAGTACCATCATTATAAATAAAAGTAGGCTTAAATTTCATTGGTATCCAACAACAAAAAATTAGGTCAAGTGTAAGTACCATATTTCTTGTTTTTCGTATATATATGTTATTGTTATAAAAGTAACTAAAATATAAAATTTAGAAACTTATTAGATTAAATTAGGTAATATAATAAAAAAAATAATAATAATAATAATTCTCATGAGCGTGTGAGCTATGCATCTGCCAAGTGATTTACAACTTGTGTGGTGGGATTATTAGTTAGACATGGTCCAAAGAGCAATAAAACAATAAAATTAAGTATAAACAAATGTATTCTGTCATGAACCTTAAGCTATTTAGGATAAGCAATTGTTGTTTTCTGTTACAATCAGCTGTTTTTATAGAAATAAAAGAGTAATTTTGATTTATTTGATATTTTACTTAAGGTGGTTAAAAGGTCAATCAAATTAACAGAGTTCGTATAGAGTTAGAGAAAATAAATAAAATATGAAGCTTTAATGAAAAAAAATAATGTTTGATATTTACTTAGGAGGTTTTAGAAATTATGCAAATGAAATTTTAAAACAAAGTGTTTTTAATCTTAAAATGAAAATCACTTTGCACTCGGTGCAGTCAACACTGTGACTCCATATATTCATGGACAGATCTTTAGTAAGAGTACTTAATTAAAAAGTCTGACAGTTTTTTATATAAAAAAACTGGTAATGTTTACTGAAAACTTTTCAAATTTTGCAAAGATATACAAGGCATTAAAAGTTATAGTATGGAAAGTCCAGTAGTTACTTTTGGGTTACAAGGTCAGTATTTTTGTACTTAGCATGAAAATTACCTTTCACTCAGACTGACTCAGTAAAGGTTTGAGAAATTCACAGCCAAATCTTTAATAAAAATACTTTATTAAAATATTTGATTTTTTATGTGCAACAGCTTTTTAATGTTAACTAAAAGCTTGTCAAATTTCAAGAAGATGCAGATAATAAATTCAGCTATAGTGTGTGTGTGTGGCATCACAGAAATGGGCTTGGTCCAATGGACTGACACTGATTTTATTCTTAAACTTTATTCAAATAAATTATTACAATACTTCTACCACACAAGACATTTATATATGTATTAGTTTAATGGACCTTAGGATTATTTAAGCGAAACAATATTTGATATTTAATTTTTGCATTTTATGTCAGTGGGGAAGGAGTTGTTTATTGTCAAGAAGACTTAACAGGAGCTCTTCATGTTAACCATCGACTTGTACTTTCCAGTAGAGACTTCTCAGGTAATGTCTTAATACATTCTTTAATCTTGATTTATACTGCTGTACTTTTATATTGTAATGGTTTGTGTTACAGCTCCTGTCAGTTTTAAATGTCTCAGGTAATGTCTTAAGACATTCTTTAATCTTGATTTATACTGCTGTACCTTTATATTGTAATGGTTTGTGTTACAGCTTCTGTCAGTTTTAAATGTCTCAGGTAATGTCTTAAGACATTCTTTAATCTTGATTTATACTGCTGTACCTTTATATTGTAATGGTTTGTGTTACAGCTTCTGTCAGTTTTAAATTTGCACTAAGAATAGTACGTTGAATGAATTAGGTTAAATCAAAAGCTGCCACAAGTCTTACACTCAAGAGGGAAATTAGCTGAACTTCAGTGTCTTGCATTAATGTTACTGTATTTCCTGTCTGTCTGATATATTTCTGTACCTAAGATTGGATATTGAAACAGTAAAGCTCAATCAGATGTTAAATGAATGACTGAAAATGGCTTAGTGGTTAGTTATAGAATATAGGGCTGAGGTTCTGTGGTTCATGTCCTGTTACTGCCAAAAACAAAATTGTTCTCTACACTTTTGTGTCAGTAGTACATTATAAGAGTGACAATTAAATCTCACTATTTGGTTTGTCAAGAGTAACCCAAGAGTTGGTGTTGGGTGGTGTTGACTAGTTGCCTTCCTTCAAGTCTTTAACTTCAGAATTAGGGAAGGCTGGCATGAATAGCCCTCATGTAGCTTTATGAAAATCTTACCAACAGATAGACATTAAAGGTACAAAATAGGTTATCATTCACGACAGTTTGTAATGAAAGTATAATTCAGAGAGTTTAAGGTAGTAAATACTTAATACTTCTTTAGCTAGTAGGATTTTTGTTTTGTATCATTTAATTTGCGAGATGTTAGCTACAGACCTAATAGCTGCTGGTTAGTCATTTTTCCACTGGTTTTACTGTTCTAGATTACAATGGTAATGGCTAAGAGATCATTCCAGGTCCATATGGGATTAACACTATCTTGATCCTTCACACAGGAGCTCAGAGTAACCCAGGGCTGTGTCTTGATGTCACAAGTTTGAGCATTAAGATGAAAGCCATTAACTAGGCAACTTTGTCCTACACATAGGTTGCAAATAGCCTCTATATTGATAGCTTTCAGATTTTCTGTCAGTCATTGAAGATGAGGCATATTGAGTAGCAGCTCCAAGCTGTTCTAAGTTAGCTTGAGTGAATGGACTATAGCAAACAGTTTTAAATTTTCGTCATCTAAGAAAGAGTTTGCATGAGTTTTTGCTCCCAGCAAGGATTGCACTCTGATGTCAAACTCCAGCTACGAGTTGTATACATCCTGTGGTTGCTGAGACAAAGTTCACTACTGTTTAGATGAACTCATTTAGTTCTTTGAAGGCCATGGAATCACTGAATGTTGGATATTTAGAAAAGACATTTGCCATTATAATCAAGCTTGCTGACACCATGGCCAAATCAGTCTCCACTGGTGGTATTGAAGCTTTGCGTAATCCATATTTGGGCTTCAAGCCTTTCATCATTGCAAAGCTTCATGCCGGTTGGTAGGTGATTTAGGATGAGCAACATCTGAATAAGATTTTTTTAAGATCAAACTTACAGTCAGGGATTGGCTGTCTAATTTGTACAACCATCAGAAGAAAGTTGTCCTCACAAGGCTCTGTGTTGACCATAGTCTTTTGACCCACCATTCTGCTAAAGAATGATCTGCAAATGTGTTAGTAGTTTGACACTGAAGACACAACTCTCATACTGTTGCTATGACATTCAACAACATTGTAATTGTAGTCATATTTTAACTTCTAATATCCCATTGATGTTGAACAGTGTCATAGGCAATAGTGACACAATCCACATTGACTGTGTCCTTAGTTTTTACAGGCCATAGGTAATATTAATTAAATTTTCTTTCTTGAAAAAAATTTCTCTATGTGTTTCATACATATATATCTAAGTATATTACTGAACTTTACTGGTAAATATTTGAAAGTAAGTAAAAAAAGTTGTTTGTAACATAAACCCTAACCCATTATTTTATAGTTTAAATTAAAGCAGTGAAAATATAATAAAGCAAAATCAATTATGTAAATGTTGTTAGTGTTATTTTGAATATTATATTATTTTCATTGAAACATGATTATACAAATGCCATGTTCAAATTACTAGATGTTGCTGGTGTAGCTGGAGCAGTGAGTTTGATCCAGTGGTCACCAGATGGAACTGCAGTTGCAATGGCTTGGAAGAAAGGAGGCCTCTCAGTATGGAGTGTGTTTGGAGCATTATTAATGTGTTCCTTAGGATGGGATTATGGGTTAGTAAAAAGTTTTAACTTTTTATAGGAATATAATTCATATAAAAGGTTTCTTTATCCAAGATAATTCTTCTTCTTGCACTTTTGTATGTTCAGAAAGTGGGTTCAAAAACTAAAATTGTTATACTTTTTTTGCTTCATTTGAAAAAGAAATTAATGTAGTGTTCAGGCATGTAATTTTATTCTATTTTTATTTTGGATGTAAGGCTAATAAAGGCTCGAATATACAGTTTACTGTTTTTATGCTTTAATTTTTCATAGTATTTAGTCATCTTTTATTGTAATGCTTACCACTGATTAAAAATGTTAATGAAAAAATGTTGTTAAGATCATTCATTACAAGACTTTTTTTAATGGACAAATGATTCCTGTATTATCAACATACAGTGGTGTATTTGTACTGTGCTGGCCACTATACTAGGACCCACACGTTATGTTGAGTTGGACCATCTTGAGCTGCAGAAATAGCAAGGATTTGGTTAGGCATAGTCTCATTAGTTGAGGAGTATGGTGTGCAATTTATTTACAGCTATATTATGAAGGGAGTTAAATTCAGTGTTTAAGTTCTTCCCAAAGATGGTCAATGGTCAAACATTATTATGCTCTTCAAACTAACTTTGGAGAATGGAACCTTGCATTATCCAATGCAATAGAGCCCAGCCCTTGTCTTCCCAGGTGGAATTTCAAAATTGAATATAAACATGTTTGGCAACATTATTCTGGTATATTTTGGATGTTTTTTGTTCCAAAGAAATCAAAGGATCCAACTCCTTTCATGAGAATATGCCCCACTTCATCACAGCATCTTAAACAATTGAAGGAACATAAGCAGGGTCATGAACAATGTTGCCACTAAATATTTGTTGTAGTTAGTGAGCTACAAACTCCATTGAACAACACTTTTGTCCTTGAGCAGTCTTTCACTTAACTAACTCATTGCTATGTTGTTAAGTTATGAAAATGCATTGAAAATGTATTATTCTCTATATGGTATAGCACTCTAAAACCACAAAGGTGACCAGGTGGCAGTGTGAATAGTGTAACACTAAATAAAGATAAATTACTGCATATTTTGCAGTTAGCATCAAAGCACTAACTTTCTGGTACAATGTAATTTACAATATTTACCCAACTCCAAATTTTGTTATTGAAGCCCCAAAGTTTTTTTTCCACATTCAGAAAAGTAAATGCAGAACAATACATATTTTTAAATTATCCAAAAAAATACAATGTATCTAAACTAAGTATGTTTGCTGAAAATAATAAATAAAAGCGGGTAAAATTCAAAACAGCAACTGGCACAAAAAAGTATAAGATACATCTTGAGAGGAAGTTGTGAGTGGCATGGCTTGTGACATTACTTGGCACATGCAAGTTTGTTGTGTCTGCATACAGTGTAGAAGGACTTCACGTCAAGAGCTTCATGTTGGTTTTCTCCTTATTTTTACTGACAATATGAAAGTGGGTGAAATGCAATTCATCAAACCTTATCATATGCTTCCATTGATATACTGTCCATAATTTAAGTTCCAAGTATTAATAAAGCTATACTTTGTTGTTTGCTATTATATGATAGGTTTTTGCAGTCAAATTGTAGCACTGTACAATCCATAAGTCTTTGATAATATCATTCCTGAAAAATAGCGGTCCACTTTGCAGATTAGAGAAATAAGTCCTCTTACCTATTTTCGTTCAGACTAATATAGACATTTTACACATGATCAATCTATTTTGCATGTGCAAATGAATGAAATGTTCTAAAGTGTATGCATGTGTGGGATTTCTAATAGACCATCCAGTCAGTATATACACTAATTTAGAAATATTTTGTGTAAAAGTGAATGTATCTTTTCTTTGCAGGTCAGTAGATGTAATGAGAAAAACTCCTTTCAGAATAAACTCTATGGTAAGTCAAAGTTATCAGCTAGAAGAGCTAAGACACATTAATGTACCTAAAATATATTTCAAATTCAAGTCTTAGTATTAAAACTATTTTTAAAAATTCACTTAACTCTAAGTTTACGGGAGTGTACCTGAACAGCCTCTTTCATAACCAACAAAATAACATGAGTATAAAAAAAATACTTTTTTCCTACTTATAGGTTTCAAATTTCATTTGTATAACTCCTAGAACCTCCTAAGTGAATGTATGAAGTTCTTTTTAACTTAATTTAAGTATTTATATATTTTTCTCACTTTATGATATTACCAACTGTAGATATTATTATCAACTTGTACTATATAGTCTATAGCACATCACAATAAAATGTGTAAAAGTAAGACATAGGAAAAATGTACATATCTTTTAATATTTGGTGAAATAATTTTAAAACATCTTTTTTTTTTTTGTGTGTGTGTGTGGCCAATATTAATGTATAGTGGGCAGAGAAACTTCAGCCCTTGGCAGAATGTGGCAGTGTTCTCATATTACACTATCTTTTGTGAACCAAGCAGGCATTGGCTTATAAATAGCAAAATTACTAAACCTTTCAAATATACGTGTTAAAACATAAATAACACATAATTAAGTAAAATGTAAAACTAAAATCTAAATACAATGCATCTTTATATCTAACTAACGTATTTCTAGGTGAGAAATAATGCTGAAGTGGCAGGGACAAAGCAGTAACAATGCTAAGAGCGGTTTGAACAGTTAAGAGAATGTACTTCAAAAAGTGCTCTTTTCATTGTTTATGACATCTAGCTGAACTAAGTATTATTGGCTGAGAAATCACAACTCAATGGTAGAAAGTGGGTGTGGCATCTGTCAAGAGTTCAGAGAAATTTATTTCTCCATTCTCTTTTTCTTTAAGGTTTCTTTTGAAATAAAGGAATGAAAACTTAGATAATATAACTTTTAATGCTGATATCATTGACAAACATTGATCATAAAATAGCTTAATTAAATTTTAAATGTAACTAAGTAAAATCTTGTGACATGCCATGTGCAGAAAAGGCTAACTGTAAGAAAGGAATTAATAAGCAACTGAAAAATCTTTAAATAACATGTTTGATTGAAACATGTGACATTGTGTCAGTTATCACTTATCTTTTTTCTTTAAGTGTTTAAGTGGTCATGAGTGATATGGAGTTGTTTGGAATATTTTATATATATATATATTTGAATTTTCATTGTTAATTGTACTCTGCCCTGTTTTGTATAAACAGGTTCCTTTCAAACATAGATCATTTAATACTACAGTTTTTTTGTTGTTTTTTTTCATTTTTATTGTATTTCAGAGGTTTTTAGTATTTTCAAAAAAAATCACACTTATGAGATTTTTACAAAAATGAATGTGAAGAATTTTAATAATAGCCATATCTCTAACATATACATATATCATCTTTTATGTTATTCAACCTTTAACTCTAGTGTTAGAAGTTCCCATATATTTGTAAGTTTGATAGAACTCTGTTGGTTTAACAAAGAATTAATGCATAATCAAATTTTGATCTGAGAGAAAGTTTAAAATTTAACAGGAGTGGGGAGCAGAGGGCTATCACTTGTGGATGATCATGAGCTCAGTTCAACCACATAGCAAAGAACACTCTATGAAGGATAAACCTGAGGAAAAAACAAAAGTTGTTGTACTGCCTTTTGTCAAAAGTGCTCTGACAGTGAATGCTGGCATGGTACTGTTTTGCATGCTTTTTTTCTGTTTAAAAAATATATATTTTATTTTGAAGGGAAGTAAAACATTGTAATTTATTATGTTGCCATTATTTGACTAACATACTTAACCATCTGGATTGAAATTATGGGAATAACCTTTTTTTTTTTTTTCTGTTGGTCAGTTGTTGAGAGTAATTAACTGCTTTTCGTGGAACCTGGACTATAAAATGTATATTTATTGATTGTTATTGGAAAACAAAATTAGAATTAGTTTTTGTTTTTCTATTTTTTATGAAGTTTATGAATGGGCATTGAGGAAAAACTGGGTAAACTTGGAATATAAAATTGGTTATCTTGCATATAGTAGACTGTAAGTTGGTTTGCAAAATTCATTATAATGAAAATTGTTTCAGCAGTGATCTTTCTTTCAAAACCTTAAATTGAGTAAAAAGTAAAGTTATACAACAAAGTAGAGGAGATTTTTATGAAAATGCCCAACTGTAAAAGTTTTTATTTTAAATCCATATATTTCAGCTGTGATATACAATTAACAGAAACTGTTAACTGTTAAACATTGTTGTGAACTAGAACTTTCTCTAAATCTAATGTGATTAATTTTTGATTTAAACAGACTGGTAGGGGGCATGTTTTTCTACAAGGAGAAGACAGACTGCTCATAAGTGCAGGAGCTGATTTACTTCATCACTCAGCAGATATCAAACCTAGTTCTTGTTTCTGGAGGAGAAATGATGGGCTCCCAAATGAAGAAGAACTGCTTGGTCACCACATGTCATTTGAAACTCCACTGTGGGGTAGTAAACAGTGGGTTGTTGTTTCAGTAAGTTTAAATTTTTGTTTACTGTCCTTTTCATCTGACTTTTATAAAAAATCTTTTCTGTTTGACAGGCTTCAAGAAATCTGTGAAATTTATTTACCCTCTTGAAATATGAACATGTGTCAGCTGACACTGAAAGTATAATTTGAAGTTTACAGTTTTGATTTACATTTACTTGTAGAATTTTTTATAACTTTGTTTGCTTTGCTTTTCAGTACCTTTACTAGTAAAACAACTTAATTCCCACAACATGCAGTCTACCTTCTAATATCTATAATTTCGAAATTAGACTATGCTACTTTTGTGTTCCTTTTAGGTTCTATTAGGTATTAGAAAATTGTTTTTAAACCCAATTGTTTGTGTACTAGAAACTTATCAAGTTACACATAGTTAACATTAAATATATTTTAATAGTTGTTCTTAAAAAATTGATTTATTAACATTTATAATAAAACAATAAAATATATATTGATTAAATTAATGTGTAAAATTATTTTACATTTTCAGAAGAAACGTATATATTTTGCTTAAAAACAAGATCAATTAATTTTTATTTTTTTTTCTAGATATCTTCCACTTACCTAGCAGCCAATTGGCCAATAAGGGTAAGTTATTTTAACAATTTTCAAATAAATAGCAATTAGTCACCAGCATATGTTCATTTTCTTCAAAAATATGTTAGTGCACTTCAGAATGTACATTTGTTATGGTTCAGTAAAAGAACAATGCATTGTTTGTGTGATTTCATATTTGAATGTTGAGAATATCTTGTTACCATTATTTTAAATTCTGTTATTTCAGTATTCTGCAATAGATTCGAGTGGATGTAATATAGCAGTGGCTGGAAAGATGGGAATGGCACATTATTCACTAGACAGTAAGAAGTGGAAGTTGTTTGGAAATGAATCACAAGTAAGTGATCAGTGTCACTTTTTGTTACTTCAAGACTTTCAGATGTTATGAATTTTGATATTTTATTAAAACATGTCTGGTATTCAGAACTTAAACAATATGATTTTAAGTTGTCTTTCAATAGTTATAGATATACCCCAGGTATTACAAATGTCATTTCTGCTGTTCAGATGACTGCATTACAAAACTGATGGAATGTGTGTGTATGAGAGAATTTTTATTATTATAAAGACTAAATCTTGTCTTGTTTGTGAGTAAAAGAATTGCATATACATTTTTATTTATATTTTTTAACTTGATTATATGAAATACTTCAATATTTTACACACACATATTCAAAAATCATTTTTTTTACTCTCTCAACATGGGCTTGGTCAGTTTGACCTATTTGTACTTGTTTAAAATCTTTATACATTTGATACTACTAACTTTTAATATAGTATGTATATCTTCACAAAATTTGGCAGGCTTTCAGTAAACATTGTCTTTCATGTACAAAAAATTATATTTTTAGTGAAGTATTTTAGATAAACTAAAAAATAATTATATTGAGTATTTGTTTTTAATAGTCCATGTGCAAAGTAATTTTCATGTCAAGATTAAAAATACTTTTCTTCATCTCAAAATTATTTAAAGTTTCATTTGTATATTCTCTAAAACCTCTAAATACATTTAAAATGTTTGTTTTCACTAAAGCTTTATATTTTATCTGTTATTTTCTCTACCCTTAACTCTATACAAGGTTGGTCAATTTGACCGACCTCGTAACCACCAAAAACAAAATGTAAATAAATCTAAATTACCCCTTTTTTTCTTTCTAGAATTAATTCAAATTGTAACATGAAACCACATTCGTTTATCCTAAGTAGCTTTAAACTCGTAACAGTATACATCTATGTATAATTAAATTTTATTGTTTTATGCCCTTTGAACTGTGTCTAACTACTATTCGTGGCATTGTAAGTCATAAATC